GTGATCCACCCGCCTCAGCCTCCCAAAGTGCTGGGATTACAGGCGTGAGCCACCGCGCCTGGCGATACTATTATTTATTGATGGATTTTGAGACAAAGTCCCACTCCGTCGCCCACGCTGGAGTGCAGTGGCACGATCTCAGCTCACGGCAACCTCCACCTCTTGGGTTCAAGCAATTCTACTGCCACAGCCTCCTGAGTAGCTGGGTATACAGGCGCCCACCACCACCCCTGGCTAATATTTTTGTATTTTTAGTAGAAATGGGGTTTCACCATGTTGGCCAAGTTGGTCTCAAACTCCTAACCTTAAGTGATCTGCCCATCTCAGCCTTTAAACGTGCTGGAATTATAGGTGTGAGCCACTGCTCCCGGCCTCAGATACTATTATTCTCCCCACTTTACAGATGAGAAAACTGAGGCATAGAGCTTACATGACACAGAGGTAGCAATAAGTAAAGCCTCTTATGGCACCTCTTACCCCTCTGCATTGTGCCCGCTGGCTTCTCTGTGCGTGGTCCCTTGGTAGTTATTTCTTCCTGACCTGGATAAGGAAGCGAATGGTCGATATCTTCCTCACCTCCCTCAAAACAGGCCTGAACACTGATTGTGCTGCTTGTACTGTAGCTGATCAATAACCTTCTTAAGCCCTCCCTCCCACCCACTTGCCATTGGCCCATGCAGGTCCTGTAGACTGGCCCTCTTCTTCCAGGCTTCTAGAAAGATCTGGTATGACCTTAACTCAGGATGCGCTGAGTGGAGAACTAAAGAAGCTTTCAGAAGGTCTGGAAGGCACCAAGCACAGTAATGTGATGAAACTCCTCCGGGTGGCCCTCAGTGGACAGCAGGTGAGGCAGGGACATGGGTTGGATTGTTCCCTGGAGCCCCTCATTGATCTTTTCAACTTACATTTCCTAGCAGGCATCGAGCTCAATGTTGGGGATACAAAGATGAATGAAACATGATCACCCCCCTCATTCAGTCAATCAGCAGACACTATTTACTACTTACTATGTGCAAGCATTGTGTTAGGTACAGTAGATACAGTATAGAATGAAACACATATATATAATCTCTGTCTCCATGAGGTTTGCAGTTTTTTGGAGATAACAGACCTAGCAACAGCTTACTTAATATGGGAAAAACAGGTTGGGCATGGTGTCTCATACCTGCAATTCCATCACTTTGAGAGGCCTAAGCGGGCAGATCGCCTGAGGTCAGGAGCTTTAGACCAGTCTGGGCAACTTAGTGAAACCTTATCTCTACTAAAAATACAAAAATTAGCCAGGTGTGGTGGTGCACGCCTGTAATCTCAGCTACTTGGGTGGATGAGGCACGGGAATCACCTTAATGGCAGACGGAGGTTGCATTGAGCTGAGATTGCACCACTGCACTCCAACCTGGCAACAGAGCGAGACTCCATCTTTAAAAAAAAAAGTGGGGGCGGTGTAGGGGGAGAAACAGGCTCCTGGGACCCATCGTTGTCCAGGGAACCAACACAAGTGCTGATCCTCAAAAGACAGGCAGCGGTGTGGGGGCTGGCCCGGGAATAATTTCTGCAGACTGAGGCTGAGCTTCAGTTCTTTAGGCGATATTTGCTCTTTTTGTTCTTAGCAAGGACCTCCCATAGCTGAGATGATGGTGTCTTTGGGACCAAAAGAAGTGCGGGAACGAATCCAGGAGGCGCTTTCCAGCTAGGGAGAGGATGTGTCTGGCAGTGGAGATTGCCCAAAGAACCTGTGACCTTAGAAACAGCCTTCAGAGACCAAAAGGAGACCTGGGGCCCATCAGGAAGTTCGCCAAAGGAACTGAGAGTGAAAACAATCTATGACTGCATACAAGTGCATTTATGACTCCACCACAGGCCCGTCCTTGCCAGTTGGCTGGGGAAGCCCAACCCATCTCCTCCTTGACTCTGGAAAGGCATTCTCCGTGACTCGTTTTTCACACATTACACAGAGGAGGTTAGGAGTTAGTTCACGGAAAAGCTAACATCCCGGAACAGTGCAGAAGGCTTGGGTTTCAGTTTGCTAGGGCCACCATAACAAAATACCACAGAACCAGGTGGTTTAAACAACAGAGATTTATTTTCTCACATTTCTGGAGGCTAGAAGTTCAAGATCAAGGTGTCAGCAGGCTTGGTTTTTCCCGAGGCCTCTCTTGGCTTGCAGACAGCTGTCTTCTTACTGTGTCCCTATGCGGTCTTCCCTCCATGCACGCACATGTCTGGTTTCATTATGTGCCCAACGTTCCTCTTCTAGGAGCACCAGTCAGACTGGATTAGGGCCCACTCCACCCTACCAGCCTCATTTTAACTTAATCTCCTCATTAAATGCTCAGTTTCCAAGTGCAGTCTCATTCTGAGGTGCTGGGGGTTTCTCATTGTAAGAATTTAGGGGGACAAAATTCAGCCCGTAGCAGCTGGGCAGCAGGACTCATGGGTCCCAGTTCTCAGGCCCCAAGGACCAGAACAGTGAAGGATATGTGACACAAGCAGGGCTGAACTGGACGCCAGACTTTTTTTGGGGTTGTAAAGGGAGAAGTGACTTCCACTGCCAAGGGTAAGTGCTCTTGTCTTATGCTACCCTTTATTCTTGAACCTTGGGGCAGCCTGTGTCTCCCTTCCCTAAATGTCATCTGTTCCTGTTTTCTAGTCCTCCAGACCTGGTCCTTGGACTGGAGACCTCCACCCTGCCTATTTTGTGGCTTTCGCTTCAAATCCATCTCTTCCTTCCTCCATGACTTGTAAGTCATCATCTCTGCTGGTTTCTGAAATGAGATAATGCTTCTTGTGGTCTTCAGTGAAGAGGAATAGCAAAAGTGGCAGCAAGATGGTGGCAGGGTACACAAACGCCTGCGAGGCTTCTAGGCTTCCCCTGTGTGGCAGCCAGCCTCTAAGAGGGCCCCCAACCATCCCTTCTTTCTACTGTTCACACCCTTGTGTGGTTTCTTCTCACACTGAATAGGCCTGACTTGTGTAACCATTATGCTATTGAAGAAATGAGAGTTTGACTTCTGAGGGTAAGTCGTAAAATAAATCATGGCTTCTGTTTTGTTCTCTTGGATCACTTACTTTGGGGGAAGCCAGCTTCCAGGTCTTGAAGATACTCAAGCAGCCTTATGGAGTGCTCCATGTGACAAGGGATCGAGGCCTCCCAACAACAGCCACGGGAGTGTGCCATCCTGGAAGCTGGTCCTCTATTTCCAGCCAGGCATTCACATGACTGCAGTCCTGGCTGATCTTGACTGTGACCTCTATAGGAGACCCTAAGCCAGAACCACACAGAGAAGCTGCTCTGGAATTTCAGACACACATGAACTGTGAGATAGTAAATGTTTATACCTGGTTTGGGGATAATTTGCTCTCTGGCAGTATACAATATATTTCTTTTGTCCAGGAAAGTAGAGAGAGGCGATCACAGAGTTCGTTGAGCCCCATAGAGTCCTAGTCTTTGCTTAAAGAGTATACCCAGCCAGACGCGATGGCTTACACCTGTAGTCCCAGCACTTTGGGAGGCGGAGGCAGGCGGATCACAAGGTCAGGAGTTCAGGACCAGCCTGACCAACATGGTGAAACCCTGTCTCTGTTAAAAATACAAAAAAGTTAGCTGGGTGTGGTGGCATGTGCCTGTAACCCCAGCTACTCAGGGGGCTGAGGCAGGAGAATTTCTTGAACCCAGGAGGCGGAGGTTGTGGTGAGCCAAGATCACACCACTGTACTCCAGCCTGGGTGACTGAGCAAGACTCGGTCTCAGAAAAAAAAAAAAAACAAGAATATACCAGTTCTTTCCAGTACAGAATCCATTAAGTTCGTTGGTTACAAGCAATATAAACCAATTTTGCCTCACTTAATGTTTATTGGAAGCAATAGGAGAACCACAGCATCTACAAAAAAGCCAAAAAACCAGGTCTTGGAAAAAACAGGAACTGGCTACAGGAGCTAAGGGCCAGTCTTGTCTGAGTTCAAGACACATGTCCAGGACACATGAACTACACCGTTTTGTTGTTAATTTCTCTGTGTTTTCCTCTCAGTTCTGGATGGCTCTGCTCAAGGTTCAGATGCTGAGGAGCGAGTATGTGTTGGGCTAACTGAGATCTTGCTGCTGTTCCTTGGCCAGAAATAGGTAGTCCCACAGGGATTATATGCAATGGAGGCAAAGTTGTTCCCAAGGAAAACTAGGGAGCTTTTTCCAGAAGAAGATGTAATGGCAGAAACAACAGGTGGTTGACCACAGAAGGGGACAATAACAACAGTATTTGTGATTTATTACACACTTGTATGAGCCTCACCCTCTCCCAAGTGTCAGATAATGCTGGTAAATGCCTAGTCCATCATCTCAGTAATTTTTTGTCATAACCCTGTGAGAGAAGCAGTATTTTTTTTTTCAGTTACAGATATGGAAACTGAGGCCCTGAAAAGTTAAGTAAAGCTTCCTAGGTTGGCTGGGTGCGGTGGCTCACACCTGTAATCCAGCACTTTGGGAGGCCGAGGCAGGTGGATCACAAGGTCAGGAGTTTGAGACCAGCCTGGCTAACATGGTGAAAACCTGTCTCTACTAAAAATACAAAAAATTAGCCAGGCATGGTGGCATGCACCTGTAATCCCAGTTACTCAGGAGGCTGAGACAAGAGAAGTGCTTGAACCCAGGAGGTGGAGGTTGCAGTGAGCTGAGATCATGCCCCTGCACTCCTGTCTGGGTGACAGAACATGACTCTGTCTCAAAAAAAAAAAAAAAGTTACCAGGAGTTCCTTGGCTCATGATCAAGTATGTGAGTGTTTTTAACAATGTGAGTGGTCAAAATGCTAAGTGGATTCTGATGTATCTACAACATGGATGAACCTCTAGGAGTTGATGCTAAATGAAATGTTAGTCACAAAAGGACAAATACTTCCTAACACTTTGTGAGGCCAAGGTGGGAGGGTTGCCAAAGGCCAGGAGTTTTGAGAGCAGCCTGGGCAACATAGCAAGACCCTGTTTCTACAAAAATAAAAGTTTTTGTAGTCACCAGGTAAGGTGACATATGCCTGTAGTCCCAGCTACTTGGGAGACTAACGTAGGAAGATCACTTGAGCTAAGGCATTAAGGCTGCAGTGAACTATGAATGCACCACTGTACTCTAGCCTGGACAACAGAGCAAAACCCTGTGCCTAAAAACAATGAATAAATAAAAGGATAAATACTATAAGATTTTATTCCAGGCTGGGTGCGGTGGCTCACACCTGTAATCCTATCACTTTGGGAGGCCAAGGCGGGCGGATCACTAGGTCAGGAGATCAAGACCATCCTGGGCAACATGGTAAAACCCCATCTCTACTAAAAATACAAAAATTAACTGGGCGTGGTGGCACGTGTCTGTAATCTCAGCTACTCGGGAGGCTGAGGCAGGAGAATTGCTTGAGCCAGGGAGTCAGAATTTGCAGTGAGCCGAGATCATGCCATTTATACTCCAGCCTGGTGACAGAGTAAGACTCTGTCTTAAAAAATTTTTTTTTACTTATTTGAAGTACGTGAAATAATCAGAATTATAGAGGCAGAAGGTACAATGGTGGTTGTCGGGCTTGGGGAGGCAGAAATGGGAAGTTACTGTTTAGGGTATAGAGTTTCAGTTTTACAAGACGAAAAGTTACGGGGGGGTCTGTGGTGGTGATAATTGCACAACATTGTAAAGATATTTAATGCCACTGAACTGTACACTTAAAAATGACTGAGATGGTAAATTTTTATGTTTTCTGTATTTTACCACATTTTTTAAAAAATGGTAAATTAGAGTTGGGTGCGGTGGCTCACACCTGTAATCTCAATACTTTGGGAGGCCAAGGCAGGTGGATCACTTGAGGCCGGAAGTTCTAGACCAGCCTGGCCAACATGGTGAAACCTCATCTCTACTAAAAAGTACAAAAATTAGCCAGGTGTGGTGGCACTTGCCTGTAATCCCAGCCACTTGGGTGGCTGAGGCACGAGAATCACTTTAACTCCCATTGTATTCCAGCCTAGGGAACAGAGCAAGACTCTGTCTCAAAAAGAAAAGTGAAATTAATAAAGCTGCTCCTTCCTCAAGTTGAATGTGCTGTGCTGTCTGGAAAGCAGCTCCAGATGTCTGTCTTCTGTTTGGGGGTTTTGCTCAGGATCAGTAGGATTGGTTTATTGTTTTTTGTTTTTTTTTAAGAGAGAGGGTGTTGCTCTGTTACCCACACTGGAGTGCAGTGGCACAATTCAAGTGATCCTCCCATCTCAGACTCCTGAGTAGCTGGGATCACAGGTACATGCCACCACACCTAAGTAAAAGTGTTTGAAGGAATTTCACACTTTTTTTTTTTTTTTTTTTTGAGATGGAGTCTCACTCTGTAGCCCAGGCTGGAGTGCAGTGGCATGATCTCAGCTCACTGCAACCTCCACCTCCCAGATCCTGGTTCAAGCAATTCTCCTACCTCAGCCTCCCAAGTAGCTGGGATTGTAGGTATGAGCCACCATGCCCAGCTAATTTTTTTATTTTTTCAGTAGAGACGGGGTTTCACCATGTTGTCCAGTTTGGTCTTGAACTCCTGACCTCGTGATCCGCCCACCTCAGCCTCCCAAAGTGCTGGGATTACAGGCATGAGCCACCATGCCCAGCCTTCACATATTTTAAATAACCTCAAGCCCATCCCCGGTGTTTTGAGAGTATAGTGCAGCAGTGAAGGGCACAGAGGCTGACTGTGTAGATTCAGAAACATTCTGCTCCTTATTCACTTGTTACTTTTCTGTATCTCAGTTTCCTTGTTTGCAAAACAGGGATAAGAATTTTACCTGTCTCGCCAGGCAAATAAAGAATTTTACCTGTTCCAGTTACTCGGGAGGCTGAGGAAGGAGAATTGCTTGAACCTGGGAGATGGAGTTTGCAGTGAGCTGAGATTGCACCACTGCACTCCAGCCTGGCGACAGAGCGAGGCTCTGTCTCAAAGAAAAAAAAAATAGAATTTTACCTGTCTCAAAGAGTTGTAAGGATTGGAATAGATAATATGTATGAAGTTCTTATTTTATTTTAAGACGGGGTTTCACCGTGTTGGTCAGGCTGGTCTTGACTCCCCACCTCAGGTGATCCGCCCGCCTTAGCCTCCAAAGTGCTTGGATTACAGGCGTGAGCTACCACGCCCGACCTCTGTCTCAAAGAAAAAAAAAAAAGAGAGATAGGAGAGAGATAGGGGAGAGAGTGAGAGAGGGAGAGGGAGGGAGGGAGGGACTCTAAAAACTGATGCTTTTTATTTATAAATGTTAGTAGTTCTGTCCAGCCCACCATTACTAGACTGCCCTGTAAGTCCCCTCAGTAAACCTCCTGCCTCATTCAGTGGCTCTGGATCTCTTCCGCCTTTCAAACTTGGTACCATCCCTACTGAAGTTAATAAGGGTAGGTACAACAGCATCAATGGAAAATTATGCATAGTCTAGACAGCACAACCTTTGAGGTTCTAGCCCTTCTTTGTCTTTGAGAAGTCATAATTCTGTTAAGTTGCAGATAGCTGATAGTAATGCAAAATCATTCTTGCCTATAAATAGGTAAGTTAATTCTGCCCACCAAAGGGACAGCTCTCACCCAGGTGGAAAAGCCCATTTTGCATCCATTTGCACATTCCTCTTACATTCCTTTTTTTCCAGATAAATTTGCCCTTCATTGACTTCACTTTTGGATTGATTATGACATCTGCTTGGTTCCCTCATGTAATTAAATAAAATATTTAACACGTGTTCATTTCATAATTATGAGAATCATGACATACTTTTTTGGGAAAATTATCTCTTAACAAAATAAGTAAATAATACAACGATGGTAAACTGTGTGATGCAGAAAATAAAGCAGAGTACTAAGCAATGCGGGACATGTTATTTTATAAGTGTTCCAGGAAAACCCTTCTGTGAGCAAAAATGCAAGCACATAGGCCAGGCACGGTGGCTCATGCTTGTAATCCCAGCACTTTGGGAGGATGAGGCAGGTGGATCACGAGGTCAGGAGTTCAAGACCAGCCTGGCCAACATAGTGAAACCTCATCTCTACTAAAAATACAAAAAAATTAGCTGGGTGTGTTGCCATACGCCAGTAATTCCAGCTACTTTGGAGGCTGAGGCAGGAGGATTGCTTGAACCTGAGAGGTGGACGTTGCAGTGAGCTGTGATCATGATATTGCACTCCAGCCCAGGCGACAGAGGGAGACTGTCTCAAAAAAAACCCCAAAAACCAAAACACAAGCACTGTAGGAGGTCGAGGCAAGAGGATCTCTTGTATCCCAGGAGTTCAAACCAGCCTGGGCAACGTGGTGAAACCCAGACTCTACCAAAAGAAAAAAAAAAGGAAGAAAAAAATATTAGCCAGGCATGGTGGTGCCTGCCGGTAGTCCCAGCTCCTCTGGAGGCTGAGGCAAGAGGATCACTTGAGCCTGGGAGGTGGAGGCTGCAGTGAGCTGTGATCATGCCATTGGACTCCAGCCTGAGTGACAGAGCAAGACCCTATCTCTTAAAAAATAAAAATGCAAAAGTAATTATTCATGTTCATCTGAAAATCAAATGTAACTGGGTGTCTTGGCTTTTTTTGTTTGTTTTTTTGAGGCGGAGTTTCACTCTTGTTACCCAGGTGGGAGTGCAATGGTTCGATCTCGGCTCATTGCAACCTCACCCCCCGGGTTCAAGTGATTCTCCTGCCTCAGCCTCCCAAATAACGGATTACAGGCACATGCCACCATGCCCAGCAAATTCTTTATTTTTAGTAGAGACGGGGTTTCTCCATTGGTCAGGGCTGGTCTCGAATACCTGAACTCCTGACCTCAGGTGATCCGCCTACCTCGGCCTCTCAAAGTGCTGGGATTACAGGCGTGAGCCACCGTACCCAGCCTGGCGTCTTGTATTTTATCTGTCAACCATACTGTGAGTGGTCTCAGAAGACCCGCGTTGGGTGGAGGGGTCTGGGCTGAGAAATATCCCGGCCATGCTCGCTTGGAGGCGGGGCCTGGGAGTGGGCGTGGCACGGAGGCCCCGCCCCGTCACGTGCCCACCGCGCCTGCCGCGTAGTCAGCCAGAGAGCGCGCCAGGCGGCAGCGAAAGAGTCAGTGGCTCCCGCGGTCGCAGCGTCGGGGCTGGGGCGATGGCGGCGACCGCGGTGGCTGCAGGGGCGGGGGCCGTGGCGGGAACCGAGTCGGCCCAGGGTCCCCCGGGCCCGGCGGCAGCGCTGGAGCTGTGGCTCAGTGAGTAGCCTGGCGGGCCCTCGGCGCGGGTGTTGCGCTGCACGTGAGGCCTCTCTTCCCGCCTCCCGGGGCCTTGCTTCGGGGCGGGCTGCCGCAGGGGAGACCAGTGGCGGGGTAGGGAGTTCTGGGCCCCGCCTGGCGGGGAGGATCGCCCAGTGGTCCCCCGAGAGGAGCCCCAGGCATCAGCCGGAGCTGCGGCCCACGCCTGGGCTCTGCCCCTCCCCCTCCGCCAACCCCCCCCCGCAAACCCCCACCCCCCACCTTAGCCGCAACACAGGACCCGGACCCCAATGGCTAAGTATCCTGCGCTTTCTGCTGCGCCAGGCACTGTGCTCACAGCGGCTCGGCCCTCGTTCCCACCCGGAGCTGGCTTCTTAACCTCAATAGGGAAGCGGGGACGTTGAGCCTTAAGGAGACGCAGTCGAGCAAGACACGCAGTCTCTTTGGGGCTGAGAAATTTCTATCTGGCTACTGCGTCAGAAAGAGCTTATTTGCCTTTTGTTTGTGTTTACTTTGGCCAGACTTTTTTTTTTCTTCATTACAATGGCCAGACTTTTTTTTAACGTGTATATATATGTATTTTTTTGTTGTTGTTTTCTAAGAGACGAGGTCTCATGTAGCCTTAGTTGGGCTCAAACCCTTTGGCCAGAATTCTTCTGCATGTCTCCTGCAAGCTTCACAGTAATCTTAGGGGTTACTATTACCTCCGTTTTAGCAATGAGGGATCGAGGTTCAAAGAGGATAAAGAATATTCCCCTTGTACCTAGCCCTGCCAGGTGCCCGGAACACTGAAATGCATAACACAGGGGTCCTTGCTCACAAAAACATTTTTTAGTGGGTACAAGCCGGCAGGCACAGCACCTTACTAACGGGATTGGCGAGGAGGAGGAGGGCGTTTGTTTCACCTGTGGTGGTAGGAGTTGGTTTGTTTACCTGGGTGTTGTCACAGCCGACCGCATTCCAGGCAGAAGAAACTGCATGTGCAAAAGCTGGGGAAAAGAGAATGTGGAGCACTCCGAGAACAAGTAGGTCAGTCCGCTGGAGTGCAAGCCTAAAGCGCAGGAATCCGGGAAAGAGGCTGCACGGCTAATTGGGGCGAGATCTTCGAGAGCCTAGTGTGCTCAGAAAGGAGTTTATGTTTTATCCGAGGGCAGGGGAGCTGTTTGGGAGTTTTTCAGCTGGAAAAATCTATCTGATTAAGGAATCCTGTAAAGGCGTCACTTGCAGCAAATATGGTGCTAAATTGGGTGGAGAGGGTGAGACTTGAGGCAGGGAGAGCAGCTAAAAAGCTTTTCTGGTGGTGGTTGGGGGCTGCAGGAGGACCATGTGGGGAGGGGAGAAGTAATGAGCAGGCGCAGTCAGCAACCTTGGTGCCTTGGAATGGAGGCAGGGGACAAGATTTTCAGCTCAAGGAACTGGTAGCTTACAGATGCCTCCCCTGTGAGGAGGAGCTGGTTTAGGAAGAGAAGGTTGAGATGTGGAGTTTGGGGTGCTTGTGGCATAGTCAAAAAAGAGATGTTCTCTAGGCAGCTAGTTGGCACCAGAGAGGGTGAGTGTGGGATGTACAGTTTGGGAGTCTGGTTCACTGGCAATGAGCTTGCCGGAGAAGCGCGTGTTTGTGTGTGCGCGCGCGCGCGTGTTTGTGTGTGGTTTTTTGTTTTTTTTTTTCCCGAGACGGAGCCTTGCTCTGTCGCCAGGCTGGAGTGCAGTGGCGCAATCTCGGCTCACTGCAACCTCCGCCTCCTGGGTTCAAGCGATTCTTCCGCCTCAGCCTCCCGAGTAGCTAGGACTACAGGCGCGTGCCACCACACCTGGCTAATTTTTGTATTTTTAGTAGCGACGGGGTTTCATCATGGCGAGAATGGTCTCGATCTCTTGACCTCCTGATCCGCCTGCCTCGGCCTCCCAAAGTGCTGGGATTACAGGCGTGAGCCACCGTGCCGGCCGCTTGTGTATATTAAGAGCAGAGGTGGCGGGCGTGGTGGCTGACGCCTGTAATCCCAGCACTTTGGGAGGCGGAGGCCAGCAGATCAACTGAAGTCAGAAGTTCAAGACCAGCCTGCCCAACATGGTGAAACCCCGTCTCTACAAAAATAAATTAGCTGGCTTTGGTGGTGCATGTTTGTAATCTCACCTACTCGGGAGGCTGAGGCAGGAGAATCACTTGAGCCCTGGATGTGGAAGTTGCACTGAGCCGAGATCATGCCACTGCACTCTA